TCTCTTAGGAGCACTTTCATAATCAAAGAGAACTGGGAAAGGAGAGAAACCCAGGTCCCTAAGTTAATCAAGTGTTAATCTTTGATTAGGTATAGGATTTATTTGCTCTTTGTTAAAAAATTATCAGTGTGAGGCTAGAGATATACATTGCACATACAAAACCCTAATTTCAATCAATAACAACAACACCACCACCACACACACACACACACACACACATGTGCACGACAGGAAAAAGAAAATTATTAGTGAGTTGGAATTCCTACAGGCAGGAAACAAAATTTGGTTGTCAGGCCAAACAGATATGGCTCTATTGAATTAGAACAAATTTTAAGATTGATAAAATTTATCAATTTTAAATTTATACTAGCTCTGCTTTTGTAGAGCTAGTATATAAGAGTATTAATTCAATGGTACTTTTGGCTTGAAGGTTAAGCATCCTGATTGAAACTCTTCTCATACATCTCCTTAAACCAAAATTCTTGACCTTAGTGCTATTGAAATTTGGGGTCAGATTTTTTTTTTTTTTTTTTTTTTTGTGGGCAGCTGTCCTGTGTGATCCCTGGTCCTTGTGATCTCTTTCCTGTATCACCACCCCAACAGCTGTGATAACCAATAGTGTTTACAGATATTATCAAATGTCTTCAGTGGGCAAAATCACCCCATTTAGAGAATTGCTGATTTAGAATAATCTGAGACAGATTCTCATTAGTACCAGGTAAACTACATTATGGCTAGATTTTAGTTATCGGGATATGTTTGCATTCTGCATGCCCATTTCTATATGCTTTGACTTAAAATTCATATTTCAATTCCTTTTGAAAACTTAAGTTTACCCCAGATAAATTTAAAGAAAAAATTTTCCGCCCTTTGGGTTAAATGGGGAACTCAGCAACCCATGTATAAAGAAGAACCCAAGATGCAGGATAGGGAAATGCACGAAAAGTTGGTAGCTTTAGAAGGCTCTCCATGGAATTCTTTATATTATTATTATTTGTGCTGCTGAGGATTAAACTCATGGCCTTGTACATACTAGGCAAGTACTCTACCACTAAGCTCCATTCTCAGTCCTCACATGAAATTCCTTATTTCATGAAATTTCTTAGGATAACTATATTTTCTTGTAGTCTCTTGAAGTCCAGGTTTGCATTCCTGAATATTCACTTATCATATCCTCCCACTGCTTCCTGGCTGCTCAGTGTCAAAGGATTGTATTGAGCCTTGGGGTTGAGGAGTCTGGTTACACCTAATATGTGCTCTAAGAGCTTTTAGCTCTGGGAGTCGATATGGTCAGAAGTAAACAAAACAAAACAGAGATGGTTTTAGAAATATATGAATTTAAAGAAAGAGGAAACTTAAAGGAACTCCTGAATATGTGAGTTGAAATGAGACATTTTAAAGATATTCATTCAATGTGCAGAACTAAAGTAAAAGCAAGCAGGAAGTAGCATAGAGGGAAAATCAGGGTTGTGAGAAGTTTCAACTCTAGGATCCCATGGTTCCACCTGGGCACTAACCAAAAATGAAACTGCTTCAGAGATGGGGAGGGTGTGGCTCAGGCAGAGCCTACACTTAGTGTGCTTGAGGCCCTGGGTTCATCCTGGGGGAAGGAATGAGAGAAAATAAAAAAGAGAAAATTTAAAAAAAGAAACTGCCTCTTCAAAGAACTATAATAACCGTAGGAGTTTATGTTTAAAAGTATCCAGTAACAGGAAAGGGGAATTAAAAACAGGATTTGTGTGTTCAATTAACTTCACTAAAATTTATACCTTATATGTATATAGTATATATCCCAAGTTCCTTATATATTAAAACAATTTTTTAGATGAATTTGACATGGTAGAAATGCTGTTACAAGGGGAAGAAGACTGGATTCCACAAGTTGTGGTTTTGAAGCAGAAAAGGAAACTTTAGCTTCCTCATGTTAATGATGACAGAACTCACGTCAAACCCTGCCTTATAATAGACATTGTTAGGAATAAAACAGTAATAAGTGAAGTGACTCTAAGTTGATGTATAACATAATTCTATATTTCATTCTTACTGAGAGTACTTTAGATCATGTAACATTTTAGGTCATCATAAATATCAAATATCTTGACAAAAAAACTATTTGTGCTTTCATTTTGTAAAGTTGCATAACTTTATGGGTGACTTCATCTCATCTCATGGCTGATGTAAGAATCCTTATTACAGGACCTTCAAAAAGTACTTGGCAATTTTAAGTTTCAAAATTTAATTGTAGTCACAAGCATGAAAGGCAAAAGATAAAACAAAACACAAATCAGCTAAGAGGAGATGCAAATTGTTAAGTTGTCCTTATGAAATAATACGAATAGCATTCATGTGGTTTGAATGTGTCCCCAAATTTTGTGTGTTACAAACTTAATACTTAAGTTATATGTTGACAGTAGTTTGTGGATCAGTGGGTAAGTGAGTTATTGAGGGAGTGGTTTTGTTATAAAAGCAAGCTTTCTTTGGCTAACCTGCTCTGTCTTCCCATGTGACGCCTTGCACTGCCTTGGGACTCTGAAGAGAGTCCCACCAGCAATAATACTCTCATCAGATGTGGTCCCTTGACTTTGGACTTGCCAACCTCCAGAACTATAAGGAATACATTTCTTTTCTTTACAAATTGCTCAGCCTGTAATATTCAGTTATTCAGTTATAGCAACAGAAAATTAACTAAGACAAACATACCTTCTTTTCTGTATAAACCTATAACAAAGCTCTTATAGTTAGCTTATAATAGCATTCTGACAATGTAATAAAAGAAGAAAAACATAAAATGATGGTTAATACCCAAAAGTCTTTTAAAATAATCAATAGTCTTAGTATACTTCAAAGACAATGTACATTCATTTTAATAGGCAAAGAATATTATTGGACATGTATCAGAATATGAGGCATGAAATAATATATAGTGCAAATTTTAAAAAGACAAAATATTCACTGGCTGGGGATGTAGCTTAATATTAGAGCACTGGCCTATAATGTATGAGGCCTTGAGTTCAATATTCAGCACTGCAAAAAAATAAAAAATAAAAATAAAAATTCACTGTACTATAAAGATAACAGATTACAAGTCATTCAAAAATGTAACTTTTTTTCTGAAAGTTGACTGATAAACTGGAAATGTCTATGTTGCTAAACATTTCATTTTAATAATGATAAAAATGCAACTAAAAATTGAAAAGTTTTACTAAAATTCATAAAAGGTAGGTTCAAACAAGACCTGGTGAGATGTACATGTAGTCCCAGCTACTGGGAGGCTGAGGTGGAACCCATGAGTTTTGGAACCAGCCTGGGTAATTATAGCAGGACATTGTTTCAACAAAAACAAAAATAGTAAAGTTGAAATGTCAGCAAGGAAGACACACCATAATCAGGCGGGTCACCCACAGTTCCCTGAGTGGCCATTTTCCCAGATTTTCAAAGTTACATTCATGATAATATAACTTGCCTAGCATATGACCTGTTGATTACTCCCCACTGAACTTTTACTAAAGGGGCTGACCATAGTCCCTTTTGGGTGGATGGGAGGATAAGCTATATAGTAATTATTTAAAACCAAACTGAATAAACTGTTTTCCTTTTGAGAATAAACATTACTTTCCTTATTTTCTTGAATAGCTATATATTTATATTAGAAAGTCCCTAGATACCATCAAAATGCATATTATGCAATATATAGTCTACAAACCCATGTTACTAATAAATATTCATATTTAAGTTTGCATTTGTGAATACTTTATACTATATAATAACTGTATGAATGAAGATATAGCTGGATGATACTGGAAAGAAATAAGAGCATAGATATTTCCAGTTCACTAAGTAGATTAAAATATATCATACATAAAGCTGGACATGGTGGTACATGCCTTTAATCCCAATGGCTCAGGAGGCTGAGGCAGAAGGATTGCCAGTTCAAAGCCAGCCTCAGGAAAAGCAAGTCACTAAGCAACTCAGTGACATCCTGTCTCTAAATAAAATAAAAAATAGGGCTGGGGATGTGGCTCAGTGGTCAAGTACTCCTGAATTCAATCCCTGGTAACCCTCCCCACACTCCAAAAGAAGTATAACAATACATAAAAACTCAATATTTATGCACAAAATGAAAAATACATATTGTATCCTTGTGTCTCTATCTTTATTATAAAATGTTACATTCTTGGAAAAGCAAGGGATCCTGAACAACCAAAACAATCTGAAAAACAAGTTTGGAAAAGAAAAACAAATCAGAATTCCAGATTTCAAAATTAAAACTATAGCAGTCAAGACAGTGATGGGGATTGGATGGGGATAGGCATACAGGTGTATCAAATATAACTGAGTCTAGAAAGAAATCCTAACATTTATGGATTGTTGATTTTTGACAAAGAGGCCAAACCAGTTCAATGGTCTAATAATCTTTCATCAAATGGTGCTGGAACAATTAGATTTCTACATACAAAAAGAATGGATTTGTATCCTTATTTCACACAAAGCCAGTTACAAACTGCCACATACTGTATGATCCTATTTATACAAAGTATCCAGAATAGGCAGATGTATAGTGACAAAAGTCTGTAACTTAAAGTGGATCAAGGCATAAATTATGAGCAAAAGCTATAAAACTCTTATAGGAAAACACAGGAGTAAATATGATGTGAGGTTAGGTAATGATTTCTTAGATACAATATCAAAATCACAAATGATAAAAGAAAAAATTGATTAGTTGGACGTTATCAAATTAAAATATTTCATTCCTCAAAGGGCACTATCAAAAAAGTGAAAAAGCAACCTGAGCAATGGGAGAAAATCTTTGCAAATCATAGATCTCATTAGCAACTTCTATCCAGAATATATAAGAAATACTTAAAACTCAACAACAATAAAATAACCCAATTTAAAAATGGGTAAGGGATCAAAATAGAAATTTCTCTATAGAAGATATACAAATGGTCAATAAACATATGAAAATATGTTCAACATTGTTAGTCTTTATAGAAATGAAAATCAAAACCACAAGATAAACTCACTAGGACAGTAATAATAAAAAGATAATAATGAACACTATTGCTATAGTACTGTAATGAAGGGCATGGAAAAATTAGAATCTCCATATATTTTTAGTAGGTATATAAAATGGTACTGTCACTTTGTAAAGCAGTTTGGCAGTTTTTGAAATGTTAAACATAGAATTAACATATCCTACAATTCCACTATAAAGTATATTCAAGATGAATTGAAAACATGCTCACATAAAACCTGTACAGAAATATTTATAGTAGCATTATTCAAATAATCAGAAAGTAGACAACTCAAATGTCCATCAACTGATGAATGCATAAACAAAAGTTGGTACATTGATACAAGGTAATTATTATTTAGCTTAAAAAAAGGAACAAAGTACTGGTATATGCTAAAACATGGATGAATCTAGAGAATATAACTGAAAGAAAGCCAGTTACAAATGGCCACATATTGCAGGATTCTATTCATACAAAGTATCCAGAATAGGCAAATCTATAGTGACAGAAAGTCTGTTACTGGTTGTATAGGACTGGGAAGTTGTAGGTGGGGTGAGGTGAGGAGTGATTGCTAACAGGTGTGTTTTTTTGGGGGGATGACAGTGTTCTAAAATTAGGTTATGATGATTGAATAATTATCAATATGGTAAATATTGATTTATACACTTTAAGCGGGTAAAATTTATGGCATATGATTTATATCTCAATAAAGCCGTTATAAGCTTTTAAATGTTTTGTTCTGTTAGGTAATAAGGAATTTTTCTAAAATGTAAAAACATTATAGTTGTCTTAACTCTTCCCCTAGGATTTTGGGGGTAAACTTTCATATATAATAAATATCATCAGTGGTGACCCCAAATTAAGCACCAATGTTGAAAAGAGTCCTTTTGGCTGGGTATGGTGGGCAAATGCTTGTAATCCCAGTGACTAGGAGGGCTGAGGCAGAAGGATCACCAGTTCAAAGCCAGCTTCAGCAATTTAGTGAGGCCCTAAAGTAATGTAGAAAGATCCAGTCTCAAAATAAAATATAAAGAGGGCTGGGGATGTGGCTCAGTGGTTAAGTGCCCCTGGGTTCAATCTCTGGTACAAAACACAAAAACAAAAACAAACAAACAAACAAAAAAACAGTACCTTTGAATAAAAAACACTGTTCATCTGCTGTTGGTAATTTTTCATATTGAGTTTATCTCTTTATATTCATCATCCTTTAGTTTACTGTTGGTTGTGTCCCAAAATAATGATGCCTCTACTGCTCCTCCCATTAAAAACAAGAAAAGATCACAAATTATTTCAGCATGTTCATTTTATACACCAAGATGAACTTAGTTTTCAGATCTGTGCTACAGATTAGGGCCATTTACTACACCCCATTACTTATCACATGAGTCTTAGCAGTAAGCCCGCTATGGAGATTGAAATATGAACTACTAGTATTTTTCTACTCTTTGTGGCAAAACTTATCCAAATTTGCCTATATAGTTCTTTCCAATTTGTGTTATATGAGAAAGAGATACATAGGAATAATAAGAAAGATTTCTATGGCAACTTTAAAATGTTATAAACATCACTGGTACCACCTCATGCTTTCCTCCATAAAAACATTTTGATTCATAGTTGTTTTTTAATCTTGGGACTACTTCTATCAGATGTACTTCAAATGCCTGAAGTATCTTCTCACTAACCAATGTCTCCCAATATCTAAGAAATAATTTTTATAAAGTTTAAATTTAACCTGAGTACAACATAATTTGAAATCTGCCAGTAAGGTAAATATCATAAATTTTGAAGAAAAACACAAATTGTTTAAATATATCATCAGTTTTTGTGGTTATTGATACATCTGTTCATCAGCATATTTTTAAAAGATTATCTTTTTTCCCCTACACACTCAAATCTATATTTCACTCATTTTCTTCAGTTTCACAATCTTTTCTTTTCCCACAAACCCAGGAATCCTTACAGAAACATCTGTGCCCACTAAAATATCAAGACTAGGAGAAATAGAGTTAGGCTAAGAGAACCTAAATTCTATGCCACCAGCAGGTATTAAATATGCATAAACTTAAAGAGGTGCCAGAAATTCACTACAAAGAAAAAGTACAACGAAGGTTTTCGAGTAGTTTTCTTATTATTCAGTTTAAAAACTGTACCTTACAAGCCAATTTTAATATAATCCAGAAAACAACAATTATATATTATGAGAGAAAAAGTTCTTCACAACTTCAGAAATTTTTACAACAAATTCACCATCCTTAAATGATAACCTTTTTGACTAGATGTTTCAGAATTGAGAAGATTCCTTAAAAGGTAAGTCTACTACTTATTATGCAACACCTCCAAACACGTTAATATTTCTGTAGGAAACTTATGAATACTTACACCATAATTTTCTGTTATGATCCATTCAGTTCAAACTTTACTACTAAATGAGTTTGGAAAGACAAATTAGGGATCGGGGCCTGTAATGTATGTTAATTTCAAATCTTGTTCTTTTTATACTGTATTTGATATCTAGTTCAGAGCACATGTAAATTTGTGGTCTTTTCCTTTCCAAAAACTAGTGGGGAGAAAAAAAAAGAAGTAAGATTAAAAATTAAACAGTATATTTTATTTGAGGAGGGAAATGTAAAATGGACTAACCTATGAAACTACATTAACCACCTCTTCAGCTAGAATTTGTCCAGCTCTGTTCTGGTTAAAAATTCCATTTCTTGGCACGATAATAGAAACATCAGATAAGCCCCAGGTTTGCCCTGTGAACATCCCTGGTGCCTTCAAGGACGTTGAAAAGTGCAGCAGGGCCAGGGGACCGGGATGGTATAGTGTTGCAGCTTGGGCAAACTTCAGCCTCAGAGATGAAGGGAAAGAGGTCGAGGAGGGATCCGTGTGGTCACCGTGCTCTTGCCAGAACACAGGGCGGACAACGAAATTCCTTTCTAAAACTCTGGGCTGAGTTCTTTGCTTGGGTGATGCAAAAAGCATCGCCCTGGGAAAAGGGAGGAGAGCAACGGGGCGCGCAAGAAAAAGAGTGAGGGAATCTGGGCGCGGCGTCAAGCAGAAACCGGTGTAAACAGGTTTGAGCCATCCGTTTCAGTGTCTTCCAGGAGGCTGGGTCCTTCCGTGGGCGGAGGAGTCCCCAGATAGCTCAGGTCGGGGCGTCGGGGCATTGAGCTCCCACAGCGTCAGGCAGGTCACCGAGGCTGCGCGGACTTGGGGAGCTAGCTTGGTGCGAGGCAAGTCTTTCCCAGGCCCGCAGCCCAGAATCCTACCCCAGGCCTAGAACGCTCGAGGCAGGCGGGGCGGAGTCCCTGCACGGCGCAGGCCCAGTGGGTCCCTCGCTTCAGGCACTGGGCGGGGCCGTGGAGGCCTTCTGTCCAATCCTGTTCCCCGGCGCGCGCGGGGCGGGACCCTCTTGGCTTTGCGTCCAATTCCCGCTCCTCTGCGGCGCACAGCGAGTAGAGCGGCGCAGCTGTCGGGAGCGGAACCGTGGGCGAGGCTCGGTCGGTGAGGATGGCAGGCAGGCCTGCGGAGCCACCACTCCCTCCCTCTCCTAGTCCGGCAGCTCAGGGGCGGGGGAAAGTTGAGTCGTTTAGAACAAAGTTAGGTCGCCTTGAACTGCAGAGGTGCTGGGGGTCAGCGGGGGTGTGGTATCCTCCTGCATCTCGCCTGTTGGCGTCTGAAGCGGTGTCCCTGAGGCTGGGCCACTGAGCTGGTCCGTCGTGGTGCTTACTTGGATTTCTCTGTCTTGGTGTCTTCTTGAGTGTGCAGAGCTGCCCTTGGGTTGGTGGGAGGAGTCTCTAAGCTTTCCTTGCCCTCTGCTGCTGCTCTGACCTCCCGTGGTCCTGCGACGGGCTGCTGGCACAGATACGGGCACTGGAAGGTATCTTGTGTCTCGGTGGACCCATCTAATGGAAGGTGCAGTTTCCCGAAACCTAGTTGATTTTATAGAAATTTAATCCTCTGCAGCAGATAAACAAACTTTCTGCGTGAGTTTGCAGCGGTTCACAAAAAGTTGAGTCTTGGAGTCTCCCTTCTCCTCCTAGATTGTCTGTCTGCCCTCCACCGTCTTTCACCAGCTTTTGTTAATTTCTCTGAAGACTTTGTTCAGTTTGTTTCTTCCTTCCCATAGTCACAAACTTAATTCAAATACCAGTGGTCTCAAAACAAATTATTGCAACTGGTAGGCTTAAAAAGTTCATGTTGGTATACTGGTATGTGACAGTCTGTTCCTTTACTTATTGTTCCTGGTTCTCTAAAATCCAGCAACGTCATTTTCGTAGTGCTATTCAAATTATATTATTTAGCTTATTCTTTGTGATTGGGAATTCAAGATCACTCTTTAAAGAAAGAATCTGATAATTCATATTATTGTTACCTGTTGGTGACTTAACCACTGTAGTGAGTTTGAAATTAGTACTCTTGTTCCCAGTTTTCTAGAATCTATTAAGTAGCAGAGAGGTGTACAGAGAGTATCTTCCTCCATGTGTTTCTCTGCATCTTCTCTGTAATAGTTTCCTATTGTTGCAATAACAAATTACAACACACTGAACAATTAAAACATCATAAATGTATTACTCACAGCTTCTGTAGATCTGAAAGACTTCAGTGAATTTAGCTGGGTGTTCTGCATAGAAGCTGTACAGAGTTGAAATCAAGGTTTCTGCAGGTCTGAGTTCTTTTCTGAGGCTGTTGGGGAGAATCCACTTCCAGATTCATTCAGGTTATTGGCAGAATTGATTTCCACTGTGCTTATAGTACTGAGGACTCCATTTCCTTACTGTCTGTCAGCCCTATGTATCTGTCAGTTCCTTGAAGCCACCTACATCTTCAAAGTCAGCGCCAGCATCTCTGCTTCAGAGGACTTAAGTGATCAGATTAGGTCCACCTGAACAGTATCCCTGTTTTATGGTCAGATGTTCTATAGATGATAACCAAGTTACAATTACAGAAATAGTGATCCCATATTCACAGGTCTGGAGATTAGAAGGGCTGAAATTTGAGGTCATTTAGAGAAATTCTGCATATGGTTGTTTCCAGCTGAATTGGTGGCTGGCCTTGAATTTGTGATCCTCCTGCCTCAGCCTCCTGAGTAGTTGGAATTACAGTGTTGCACTGTGCAGCTGGACCCAGCTTCAGCTGGATTATTTTTATAATGTACTTTTTTGGGCATTTAAAATACAGTCTATGATAAGGAAATTCGTTAAAGTTATTTGCCTCCGAGCACATGGCTAGAAGGTGGCTTATTCTATTTGGACCCAGATCTACATTTTCATTAGGTTCAAAGCCTTTTTGGGTGTTCAAAACAATGTGTAACTGAAGTCATTAGAAAAGAAGAATGAGAGGAACTATGAGATCTTTGTTATACTTCACTTTCAAATTATCTCTTTATATTAATGGTATAGATAGCTCTTCTCCATAAAAAAAAAAAAAAACAACCCAAGATATGGCATGAATAAAACAAAAGTCGTGAGATTTTTTTTTTGTTGTTTGAGAGCTATGTTGCCTGGCTTTGAATTCCTAGGCTAAAGCAAACCGTTTGCTTCAGCCTCCTGAGTAGCTGGGACTACAGGCATGTGCCACCATGCCCGGCATTTTTTTTTTTTTTGATATATCTAGAGATAGGAGTCCATGCTAATAGGGTGCTTCTGACAACCTCAGCAAATGGCTTCCATAAATGGGTCCAAGGCATTGTTCTAGTTGACATTCCCTGATGGGCAGTGAGGAGGAAACATGAAAGAACACATGCAGTCCTTTTTAGGGTTATGAACTGGAGATAACATATATCCCAAGGCCACACTGAGCTCCATGGGAGAATAGGAGAAATATAACTGTGTGGCTGTATGCCCAGCTAAAACTCAGGATTCAAAGGGGAAAGGATGTTGACCGAAAAAAAATTTCTGCTGTGCCTTTGTTTTTGATACTATTTAATTTTGTGACCTCTAAGTGGAATATTTGTTTTGCTTTGCTGTTTATTTGAAAGGATAGGAAATTCTTATTCAATATTGATACTCCTGTTTTCTCAGTTGCTATTTTAATATGTAATTTATATATAAAGTCTTCTTTGAGAAATGTCATTTTTTAAATTTAGCACTTGTATGTAGACCTTCTTCATATTTTTGGTTTAGTTTGATTTATATGATGAAAATTAATACATGTGTGGAAGACATTCAAGATTGCTTTGGAATATTTGAAACCATTCTGAGTAGGCCTTACACCATCTTCACAACGTACAGCAGTTTGTCATATGATTTATTTTTTTTTGTATCCTGTAATTCTATAGTTGAGCAACTCTTCCACACCCCTTCATGTGCTCCTCAAAGTTCTCTTTTTCAGCACATAATCCTTTTCTAAATATCAAACCCCATCCATCCATCAATACTTTCTGTATACTTCCTCACCCACTATCATGCTGCCTATCCTGTATGGGGGAAAAATGTGCAGTGTAATAGATCTGGGTTACAGTTCTAGGTATAATCTCTTAGGCAGATTACTAAATCTCTCTTTGTATTTTTTTTTCATATGTTAAAATTGCAGAGAATGTCACTTTTCAGAGATAAGAAGATTAGGGAGATGACACACGTTTTTATATCTGAATTAGGCTTTCCCCAAAGAGGACTCTCTTATTTCTTTTTTTTAAGTTGTAGTTGAACACAATCTTTATTTATTTTTAATGAGGTGTTGGGGATTGAACCCAGCACCTTTCATGTGCTAGGCGAGTGCTCTACCGCTGAGCCATAATCCCAGCCCCAACTCCTCCTATTTCTTGCCTAAAGGACATAAACCAGTGTTTGGGGAACTGAATGGGGAGAGGGTACAAGAAGGCTCAAAATTCAAGGAGTATACTTTTTCTTTTTTTAGTGGTGATGGAAATTGAACCCAGGGCTTTACATATGCAAAGCAATACCTGGCACATACTGCAATACTTTTTGACTTTCTTTATCTGACAAGCTTGTAAATTCCACAGAATGGGATCAAGTCTTAGATACAGTCTGACCCTGAAATATTGGTTTAATGAATTGGGCCTAGCATATATAAGAATATTTATGAGATTGAATTTGTGAGTGCTGCCTCTTTTTTTCTTTAGGTTTCCTATTGTGACTATATCATGGAAAATCAATTGGCTAAATCAATCGAAGAACGAACATTTCAATACCAGGATTCTCTTCCATCACTGCCTGTTCCTTCACTTGAAGAATCATTAAAAAAATACCTTGAATCAGGTATGTTTATAATCTTAAAATTATCCATTACTTCTTAGCAACTTAGAAAACAGATGCTGTTAGAAGTTGATGAGGGTCTGATTGCTTCTAGGCTCATGATAAAGTGTCCTTAAAATATCCAAAATGTTTCTTTTTCTCTTTTGTTATTTTTTCCACAGTTTGTAAAGCAAGATAGTATTAATAGTCCTTCAGTGAAAAGTGCAATCCTTTGCCCCATTTCCCTGGCTGCTTCTTCTCCTTGCAAATCCCACCCTTCAGGCAAGAATTTTCAAATCTTTTATGTTCCTTATGTTATCTACACAATTAAAGTAATATTCTTATTTTACTATTTCTTGCATCTTTTACCTGTAGGTATTATAAATCAGTTCTCTTTCATCCTTTAGCCCTCCCTGTCCCCAGCATAAATACAAAGCAACATTACCTCATTTTCCCTCTCGTTCTTTCTATATAGTTGTGCAAAAGTCATTATTTAGGATTAAATTAGCAGTCCTCTGTTTATTTCAGGATTTCACCCTATTTTAATCAACATACACCTGACTTAATTCACCTAATCATTCAGGATTTATGGTTATACAATTATTCATATGTGAACTCTGCATTTTACTTTGATTTACCTTCTTCTTGCATTTTCCCCTTATTTTTAATTTTTTACTTTACTTTGTATTTATAAATAAGTTTTCCCAAACATTGCAGTGAAAATTCCTGAATACATTTAAATATATAAAGTATTCTGTCAGTTTCATTTCTACCTGAATACTCCTTTTCAGGAGCCCTTTCCCCTCTTGCTCTAATTAGGTTAGCTTTTCTTGAGCTTGATGGACAACTGGTATACTGGAGCTTTCCTTTGCCATCATCCTGGGAGTTCTCTTCACATTTCTTTCTTGTGTCAGACTCTCTATTTCCTAGATTTAATATCTTTCGTTTTCTTGATTTACTTCATTATTTGACTCATCTTCAGTAGATACCTGAGAAAGAATATTTGGGAGGAAAAAGTATGAAGTAAAAACATGTTTACTTGATTGGTTGGTTGAGTATTAAATTCTGAATTAGAAATCATTTTTTCTGAAGAACTTTGAAGGTATTGTTTATTATTCTTGAGAAGTATGATGCCATCTGATTTTGAGGCCCTACCTCCTAAAGGTCCGTAGCACCTCCCCATACTACCAGGCTGGGAT